TGAAAAGAAGCACCTGCGTAGGCACAAGTGGGCAGAGGAGTGGCTGCCCTGAGCTGGCGGAGAGACCGCCCTTATATAGACAGCCTCTCCCAGGGAGGGGCTCAGTCCCTGTGAGCCTAGGTTGGTTGACTTTGAAGAGATTTCTGATGACATTCATCTCCACGTCCTTATCTTTCACCTTTTGATTTGAGCTTCAGACAAAGCCCCCAACAGTCTGTTACCTGCTGGCAACTCTTGCAGATATTCAGGCATCCCAGGGGCATCCCAGACCGTTGGCCTTGATGTTAAGGCTGTGTCAGTGGCTGCACTAGCCCCTTCTATCTGTCCCCTTTGTGTGACTCAGTCTTGTGATGCCTCCTTGGCATTCCTTCCTCCATCAGAAGGAGCCCGAGGAAAGTTTTCAGAAAAGGAGAGCAACCAGTTTAGTTTTCCCAGGTCAGGCCGCATGTAACTGGGTAGAGGTCATTTGAATTTTAAAGAATGATGAGTTCTCGGGGGAAAGCTGCTTTTACCTACAAGCAGGGATTCTGATCTCCACGTTTCTCAGAGCCGCTGGGTTAGGCCCAGGTGGTACAGGGCAGGGAGACCTTGGGTGTTAAACTAAGGAGACAGCAAATGTGGAGAGGTGAAGATGAAGCAGCCAGGTCTGGGAAGTGAAGAAGGAAGAGAAAACTATCTAGCATCTTTCAGAAGACAGCAGTGATATTTTCAGCGGGACATAGATTAGTGTACAGAATATAATTTTGTATTTAATTATTTAAGAGGTCATGTAACAGCACTTATGTCTCTCTGTTGCTGAATGTGCTCTTGTGGAAAGCGGAGACGACCACAATCCAGGAAACTCTGTGAAGTCTAGAAATGTTTGACATAACTGCCATCAAGTAGAGAAGGGAGATTGCTATCCAGATTGCAGAGATGGGAACAGCTTTGTTCAGATTAAAAACTGGAAGTTATCACCCTTTGTGAATTAACGTGTATACCTAAACACTTGGCTGGGTGCCTGGCATAGCAAAAGCTCCATGTGTAAATTGCTGCTGCTGCTAACTACTGTTATTATTAATAATTACCATTTTCAGAGGAGGATCTTGTGTAAAGTGGCTCTCATCAGAACTCATATATTAAAGTCTATGTGAAAAGTTCCTTGTCCAGAAAAGTAGGAGACGAATTCTTAGAAATGCCTTGTGTCCTGACTGGAAATCTCCTGCTGTTCTGCTGGGTGTGGTTGGGGTAGAGAGGTGATTTCCCCCCAGATCCCAGGAAGGAAACTTTGCCAGTAGAATTATGTGAAGTAGCCCTTGGTTTTATGTGAAATGGGATTTGAAATTATTGGTGCCTGTTTGAGATTCAAGACACATAGGCTTAAGTGTCTTTGGGGAACCATCCAGTGATCAGAGACAGACAAATGACCCCAGTTCCCAAAAGGGGATGGTCCAAGACCCTCTCCTTCTCAGCCTGCCAACCAAGCCCCCAACCCCCAGCCTCTCTCCTCCCTTCCACATATTCACCTTTCATGCATTCAGCATGGTTGCACTCAAGTTCATTGGCAATAACTTTGCTGACAACCCCTGCCGTCCCTGAGTGTCCTGGTATCCAAACTGCTAAGACACATCTCACAAATTGAAAGATCTTGACTTTATTGAAGGAGTCATGAATTTGACAGCATTTCACCTAGATACTGTAAGAGGTCACATACAATGTAGAGCGTGTTTATAGTCAGAGAGAGGGTGGGTCAAGGTGGGAAGATTATCTCCAGTAAAACCACCTTTCCTCTGGGGAAGGCAGGGGTCTTATTGTGCAGATGACCTCACTAGTGCTGATTAGGAACCTCCCAGCTGATTGGTTTAAGGTTTCACTTTGGGAGAGGCAAAAACTGCAGTGAGATTAGGCTTTAAGTCTGGGTGGGGACCAGGCATAAAAAACTGCATTTTGGACCCGATCTTTCTATCATTGAACATCTTCTAAGACCCTTGGTCTGCTACATAGTTAATGTTGCTAATATTTTATTGGTAGTATGTGAAGAGTCAAACACAAAGCCAGAATCATTCATTACTTACTACAATTTGTGAATTTTTTTGTTGTTTCTTCTCATTTAATATCACCACACATTTCCCCCATTTCACAAGTGAGTTTGCGGCTAAGCAGACTCACGTATATGAACCCAGATGTCCTGGCCCTCCTGCTGGATATCATTATCCTTTTCCATGTCTAGCCTCTCGCTCGGTGCTCTTAGCTTACTATTTTCCCACATGTTGGCCTTGGCTTTTTCTCAAATACACTGTAAACGCTTAAGTCTGTATAACCCAGGCCCTTCACGTTCACAGATTAGCTGAAGAGCAGCTTTCTGCCTCCGGGGGTAGAGGAAGAGCAGGTGGGTTCTCCTCCCTGGATCACTGCTGCACTGGTTACACACCAAGCCAAGGTTACACGAATAGGAACTTTCTCCTGGCCTGGTTCCAGTTCTAGCCATTGTGTTAGGCTCCATCCTTTCTCAATATCGGCAGGTGGCTCCCAGCCACCTAGGCGGCAGCCTCGCGGCTTCTCCACCAGCGCCAAGCACAACTTTTTTTTTTGTTTTTCAAGAACCAGCTGGAACAAGTTGGTACTGGGGTGGCCCTAGGCAAATCCAACTCCTGTCCTTTGTCCTTGATCCTCCGCTCTCTTTGCCACACACAGCTACCTCCTCCTCCTCCCCCCACGTCCCACCTGGACCAGCTCCCTGATAAAAACAAGACCAGCCCTATGCTCTTTGTCCCCTTTCTTTGAGACTGCTGATAATTACTAATCTGGTAAATAAAATCAGGTTTATTGGAATCCCTCCTGGTGAATATTAGCATTTAAAGAGGAGATAATTCCTTAACTGCTCGAAAAGAAAACAAGTGACAGGAGGAACTTATGAAGTGACAGGTATGTGGGAGGCAGGGCTTGGGCTTACAAGGGCTTCAGTCTGGGAAAACCTGGGTTCAGTCCTGCCTCCCACCCTTCACTGGCTTTGTTCCTCAAGCAAGTTTCTGGTGGGTAAAATAGTGGTGTCTGGTGCAGAGAGCAACAGCCCCTGGCGTGGGTGTGTCCCTCTCTGAGTAGTATTCCTTGAAGGTCTCTCTCCTAGTAGACCTCCCTCTCCACCTGTGCGTTAGGCTATTTGTTGTCACATTGAGAGTATAATTGTTGGGCCTCCCTGATGGTTTAGGGGTTGCGTCTCAGCTTTATTGCCATGACAGCCTGAGTTCACGTCCCAGCCAGGGAGCTGACCCACATGGTACAGCTCCTGTCTGTATTTCAGTGAATCTGCCTGTTCTGCTCTCCACTCTTGACTCTGGTGAATCTTCTCACCCCCCACCTTACCTCTGCCATACCACATCACACTTTTGGCCTATACCCCAGTTCTTCTATGCAAAAAAAAATCCAAGTCAATAAAGAAAAGGCAGTTTTTTTTTTAAAGATTTATTTATGCATACAGAACTGGGGTACAGGCCAGAGGTACAGGGGCAGTGAGAGGATTCACCAGAGACAGAGTGGGGAGCAGAACATGCCAGCTGACGAGTACACTGCTGAGGGGAGCAATGGGCGAGTCAGGAGAGGTCTGCCACAGAAAAGGCAATTTTTTTTAATAAAAAAAAAGAATATAATTGTAGGAGTCAACTGGCTAGCTCAGTCGATAGGAGTATGAGATGCTTAAGAATATAATTGTTTTATATATCTTGTTGGGCTATTAAATACTCTCATATTGGGATTTTTAGAGACACTTATTGTGAAATGTACCTTAAGTACAGAAAAGGGCATGTAACACACATCTGCAATTTAGCATATAATATGAAGGCGGCACTGCTGTAGCTGCTGGGTGAGTGAAGCCCTCGGTGCCTCTGAGAATGATTTCAGCAGTTTCCATTTCAGTGGCACGTGGGAAATTTGTGAAGGAAAAAGATTTACATAGACACAAATAGGCAAAGGCTATATTTTAAAGGTTTATTAGGGAAAAAAGGAGACTCCTGCATAGACACAGGTGGGCAGAGAGCTGTATTTTGAAAGGGCAGGTTTAAGAAAGAGACAGCTGCACAAACACAGACGGGCAGTCTTGGGGCAAGATTTGCTTTTTGCAAGGTGTATCTTTATGTAGTGTTTGGGGCGGGTGTGGGGTGCAGTGCAGTGCAGTTTCTGCCTTTGTGTAATTTCATCCTTCTGTGGTCAGGTTGGGTTGGTTTTCTCTAACATATAATCCTCTATGCCCCGACCTCAGATTCCTGGAAACTTCCATAGCCAACTTAATGACTTGCTACTCATCCCTACCCCCACCTGTTTTTTGAACCCATGAAAACTTCCATCCACAATTTTTCTATGCTAGAGACCATAACCATGACCCTGATCAAGAAAAACAAGCCCTGCCCTGAAGTGGCAGGTAACACAGTGGTTCACAGCCTGGGATGATTTTGCCCCCTGGAGCATTAAACCTGGTCACCCAGGTGGACAGGCCAGATAGGCTGCTAAACACAGGCCAGCCCCCGCAGTAGAGAATCAGCATCGCCTAATAGTGTCCCCGTACAGAGAACCTTTTGAACACAATCTGATACAGCATCAACACCTGATTTTTTTAGAGACAATGCTGCCACAGGGGGTGAACCTTCAGGGAATGATTTGGAGGCTCAAGATGGCTGATAGTGTCAAAACTATTATTAGTAGTAAAACTATATACCACCCGCCTCATTGTTCTGGGGGGCCAGAGGGGCCGGAGGCCACCCAGAATTTCAGATGAAGGCTCTGAAGTTAATAGGCCTTGCTAATGGCATCAATTAGTTTGCATTCTTTCATTGCTGCCAAAAGCTTTTAATCTTCTGTCAATTTGCACCAACCTTGGGAATCAAACACTGTACAAGCTAGTAGAAGCCAGACATGTTCCATTTTGCTATTAATTGAATCATGAATTAATTAAATATCATATTCTTTTCATCAACTTGTCCTGCCCCCCCCTTTGCATTTGTAACTCTTTTGTCTTTAATTTATTGCAGGATTTAGTCGTTCGTATTGTTTTTATTCTTGGCAACCTGACAGCAAAAAATAACCAGGCTCGTGAACAGTTTTCCAGAGAGAAAGAGAGCATCCCAACTCTGTTGTCATTATTCCAAACATTCTGTGAGCTGGACCTGCATTCTGAGAAGTGTGGGGGTGAAGGTGATGAACCTCCAAAGGCACCCCGGCTGCGGACCCAGGCCGAGGACGTGCTCATCAAACTGACCCGAGTCCTCGCCAACCTCGCCATCCACCCCGGCGTCGGCCCGGCCTTGGCCGCCAACCCGCACGTCGTGGGCCTGCTTCTCGCCACGCTGGGTAAGAGGGCAGCCGCCTGGCTGCCGCACCCGGCGGGAGGCGCGACGGCTCTGCGCCACTGGCGGGGAGAAGGTTTGGTTAGTACAGTTGGCTCGTTTAACCATCCTTTCCAGCTGTGGGAAGGAAAGTATCTCTTCACAAGGGCCTCGAAAGTATCCTAGACTAAAAAAAAGACAACAGGGCCCTCCCTGGTGGTGCAGTGGGTTAAAACACAGCACCGTGAAGCTATCCCAAGCCACTGCAGCACTAGTTCCATAACCCCCCAGGGAACTGACCCACATGGCATGGCAGGCCTCTCCTGGCCCACCTGCTGCTCCCCTCAGCAGTGTATTTCAGTAGATCTGCCTGTCCTGTTCCCCACTGGGTCTTGGGTGAATCCTCTCACACCCTGCATCTCTGGCCTGTACCCCAGTTCTTATATGCATAAATAAATAAATCTTTAAAAAGAAAAAGAGAAAGAGAACAAATAATACAGAGCATTGCTAAAACCCACTGAGTTGTACACTGAAAATAGGTGATCTGTATGGCCTGTGAATTATGTTGCAATTTTTTTAAAAAGTATACTTTTAAAAAGTTCTCAAAAATTGACCACAAAATTTAAAATCAAAAAATTTCTCTGGGCTCAACCACACAATTCAAGTTTATCTACCTTTTTTGTTTTTTAGTTTTATATTATCAACAGTGATGGCCCCCAGTTACTCAGATCCCACTTTTCCCGTATTTGTTAGCTGGGGCTGCCATAACATAATACCACAGGCATGCAGCTTAAACCACAGAAACTTGTTTCTCACAGTTCTGGAGACTGGGAAGTCCAAAAGGAGGGTGCTGACTGGTTTTACACTCGGCCTTTCTTCAGGGAGTACACAGGGGAGATCTCTCTCTTCCACTTCAATTAGGGCACCAATCTTAATGGATTAGGACTCCACCCTTATAACCTCATTTAACAAATTACCTCCTAAAAGCCCTACTTCCAAATTCAGTCACATCAGGGCCCTCCCTGGTGGTGCAATGGCTTAAAGGAAAGCAGTATGTGGCTATCCGCAGCCCCTGCAGCGCAAGTTCGACCCCAGGACAGGGAGCTGACCCACATGGCATGAAGCTTTCCTGTCTTGCCTACTGCTCCCCTCAGCAGTGTATTTAAGTTCATCTGCCTGTTCTGCTCCCCACTCTGTCTCTGGTAAATCCTCTCACTCCCCACACTTCTGTCTGTACCCCAATTCTTGTATGCATAAATTAATCTTAAAAAAATTCAATCACATTGGGAATTAGGGTTTCAACATATGGATGAGGAGGGGAAGCGGGTAAGGTGGAAGTAGGGAGAACACAATTCAGACTTGATCCTTCTCTCCCCAAATTCATGTCCTTGTCACATGCAGAATACATTCATTCCATCTAAACATTCCCCCCAATCTTAACTCATTCTATAACTGAAATCCAAAGTCTCATTTAAGTAGCACCTAAATCAGATCTCAGGGACATTGGAGATAAGATGTTCACGGAGGCAGAATGCCTTTCCTGCTGTGAACATGTGAAACCAGACAAGAGATGCACTTCCAGAATATCAGGGTGGGACAGGACAGAAGAGTGGGACAGATAAAAGGGAAGGGTGATGATGGGTCATGAGCAAGCACAAGGCCCAGCATGGCAAATTCCACTGGCGCCAAGAACCAAGAATCACCCTCCTTGTGTCCATGCTTTGCGCTCCAGCCCCACTGGGGCAGTACTCCTGCCTCGCAGCCCCACCCTTCCCGGGGTCTCTTTGCCTGGCTCCACAGGGCAGCTTACCCCAAGGCTTCAGGGTGGAGGCTCTCTGGCCAGTTGAGACTGAGGAGGTGTTTCTGATGACCTTCGTTCACCTTTGGCGTCATTTTTCCCTCTCCTTGAAGACTAGTAGATGTTGTTGCCAGAGAGCCTCACATCCTGTACCCGCAAATCCAAGGAGTCCCGCAGCCTTTTGTCCCATCAATGTTCCTCAGGTCAAGTCCCGAGGCTCTTTGTGGAGTGACAGGCTTGCCACACCTCTGGTGTTCTTCCCCTGCCTCCATTTTCTCAACGTTTGCTGCACGGATGGACTGAGAATCTGGAAAGAGCTTGAAGTTCTGGTTCATTTTTGTTTAATGTTCCTTTCTTTAGTTCATCTTTTCTCACATTTACTATAAGCAGATAGGATGAGCAAGGCTGTTCCTTCAACACTTTGCATAGCAGACATCACACCTATCCAAACTAGTGCCGTCCCTTGCAAGGTCTGCCTTCCACAAAATAGTAGAATACAAACGGAATTGGGCCAAATTCCTTGTCTTTATTACAAGGGTGGCCTTCACTGCAGTTTCCAGTCACCTGGTCCTCGTTTGGGTCCTCACCAGAAAGGCCTTACATGCTTATATTTCTGCCAGTGTTCTGCTCATGATTATTTGTTGTTGTTGCCTGGAGGCACTGACTCCAGCTCCTCTCTTTTCTCTCTGACCTTTATCAGAATCCTCTTTAACGTCCATATTTCTACCACACACCCTGAAGCCACTCTAGCTCTACTCCTTACCTAGTTGAAAGCTGCTTCTAGACTTGTAGCTGTTTTTATAGAAGCATTCACTTCTAGAGACCAAACTCTGCCTTCGTTTGCTTGGGCTGCCATGACAAAGTAACAGATTGTGTGACTTAAACAACACACATTTGTGAGAAACTGTTAACACCTGAAACCTATACGGTGTTGCAAAGTAATATTACCTCAATAAAACCAAAACCCGAGAAATTAATTTTCTTACACTTCTGGAGGCAACATCTATACGCATGAGTCATACTGTCATATCAGGTCCCGGGGGGTGGGGAGCCCTCCTCCTGGCTTGAGACACCACCCTCCTCTACCATGTGAAAAGTGTTACCTGATAAGTGCTTCACCCTGATGACTTCACTTTAGTCACTTCCTAAACACCCGGTTTCTAAATACAGCATTAGAGATGAAGGATTCAACATATGTGGTTTGGGGGCACAAAATTCAGTCCACAGCACCCCTTCTCCCACCCCCCAGTTTCCTAACCTCACTTCCCATGGGTACTTCTGCCTCCCCATGTGCAAAGAAATTAACTACCATCCTGGGCCATCTACAAAGCCACTAGCCAGATGACATAAAAGAAGCCTTTTTTATTACAGAAACAATTCTAACGCCTGACAAAAATGATGTTTTGGGTCATCTCTGAGCCATCCCCTCTTGCTATTCGATTGAAGACCCATTTATTGATTTCTTACTGCATAACTTGAGCTGCCATAACAAAATACCACAAAGTGTGACTTAAACAACAGAAATCTCTTTTCTCCCAGTTCTGTAGCTGGAAATCCAGGGTGCCAGCAGGGTCAGCAGCTGGAGAGGACCCTCTTTCTGGCTTCTCAGTGGACTCCTTCTTACTGTCTCTTCGCATGGAAGAAAGAAAAAGCACTTTTTTAATAAGGGAACCAGTCCTATGAGATTAGGGCCCCACCCTGAGAACCATATTTAACTTTCAGCACCCCATTATAGGCCTCCAAACTCGGTCATCTTGGGAATTAGGGTATTTGAAGGAGGAGAACAACAACATTCGGTCCATTGCACAGATTAAGAAACTTGTGGTATAGGATGGAGTCTGTGAGATTTGCGGACAAGTTCATGAGTAGTGCCAGCAGCAAGGTGTGGGGTGGGGAGGGGGGCGGGCATGCAGGCTGAAGGGAGGCAGTCATGGAACCCAGCTTTTAGTGTGTGGGCTTGTAAGTGACATTGCTTTACCTTATTATGGAGCTTTAGAGTCTAAAAAGCACATTTGCATCTCTTGCCTCACAGCAGCCACGTGAGGGCAGCTTGTTATTTTAGCCATTTTACAGGCCGGGAACCGGCTCAGTGACTTTTACAGCTTTTGGACTGTAACATCTGCCTGTTTTCTGACTGTCCTTCCTTGTCTGTGGGAAGATCGGTCCTTCTCTGCTCCAGGCCAATCAATCCTGGGACTGTGAAGAAACTGACTCTGTAGGATGGGTTTAGGGTCTTGAAATCTGCAATTCAACTCATCCCTTGCCCCAGGTGATTCTTCTGCTTCTTAAATGTTGGGATCCAGTGCTTCAGAGAACCATCCTTAACCTCCTCTGCTAGTGAGAGGCTACCAGAAACCTGAAACCCCTGGACCAGCTCTTTTCCTGTTGCAGATTCAATCCCTTTACTGCACTTCCCGAGAGCCTGACCGCTGGCATCTGGGGAGGGCATCGATCATTGTGAATAGTTAAGCTGGTCAGAGAGCGTGCTATGCATGATTCATTTTCCTGCGGTTGTTAATATTCATGTATAAAGTGAGAAAAGCCCTGGTCTTATAGCTATTTTATGAGCTTAGAAATTACATTTCCACCTGGGAACTGAAGGTTTAATGAATAATGTGTGCTTGACTTCCAAGAAAGTGATGCTTTGAGACAGGAGGGAGAGGCTGGGAAACAGATCTGGCCAGACATCAGAGAGTTAGCCCAAGGGCCTACCTTAGGTCCTAAGGAGGCTCTGGGACCTGGCCCAGCCATCCCCAAGTTCCCTGGGAGTATAGCACATTCCTACATGACTCCTCTCTAGTGGAACCCTTGAGCTTCTGGCACAAGGGAATCGCCTATTTTTCTTTTGTTTGTCGTTAACCAATGAAACGATAACCTAGGGCTTCTCCATCTTCCTCATGCAGAAAAATCACAGAGAGCTCATTAAAAACCACAAATTCTCTCATCCTTGAGAGGTTGTGATTGATCCGCTAGGTTGGGGAGAAGAGACCAGGAATTTGTGTTTTAAAAACCCTCTGGCCAGTCCTGATGCAGGTGGTCAGTCTCACTGAGACTGTGAAGTGAAACCAAAGTGAGAAGGTCCTTCTTGGTTGCTGCCATGCCCTGGGCTACCAGGAGAGCCCTTGTGTCTTCTAGCTCCTAAAAGATTTGATCCCCACAGAAAGCTGTTAGGGAGTTAAGTCACCACTTAGAGAGGAACCTCCCTCTATCTCCCCGTCAGACTTCATCTGGCCTCCAAAGCCCTCCTCAACTCTTTGCTGGTCTCCCACCTGCTGTCTCTGAGGAGTGGGGGCAGGGCAGGGAGAGAGGGACCACCACTGAACCCCCAAACCTGCCTACTCTAAATAGGTTCTGCCATCTGCCGCATCAAGACGAATAAGACTTTAATGAAAAGGGACTTTAATACAGTGAGTATGAAACATGGAAGACAGAATATAATTTTCTAGATGAAACACCTGAAGTTACCCATCCCCTCGTGGGCAAAAGTCCACCCAAAAAGGATTGGTCCAAAGCAAGGCCTGAAAGCCTGCCACAAGCCTAAAGCACCTTCTGGCCGGGACCCATAGAAAAGAGTCAGAAATAGCCAGACAAATCTGGGAGGAAAAGAGCAAAATCCATATAAACACTGCCATAGTCACCTCCCTACAGGTCTCTCACCCACATCTGCCTTAACCAGTCCAGGGTCAGGAAACAAGCCCGGTTTCTTCATCACATGCTCCCTGCTCCAAGTGGCTTCCTCAGTTCTCCTGGCTCTCCATCCTGCTTCCTGCTTCCTCCTCAGATTCCTTCTCTTTCTTTCCTTTTCTCTCCTCAGCTCCACCCTCCTTCTGGGAGGGGCAGGGTACCTGGAACTTCCCCTTTTCCCAGGGACCACCCAGTTACACTTCCATCCTGGAGAAAGAAACCCTTTTTCATTGCTCTTGCCGCACTCGACAGACCTGTAGTAGAAGCCAAGCCAGGGGCAAGGCCTGGACTGGGACTTTGATTAGAAAGGAGCAGCTGGCCGGTCTGGTTATGCTCACTATAACTGAGGGCAAAGTAATTGCCACCCTGTTTCTGTTCAGGGCTGAACCCCACTCTCAGCCCTCCCCCAAGCACCCGGGACTCCCCTGGGACTTTATCTATCTGCACTAGCTCTAGAGGAATTGCTTGTACCCCAGGACTCATTTTTAGAGGCCATTCATTACATAAGTTCTTTTAAAGTTAAAAAATGTTTCCAATAAGGACCGGCCTCTTGGCAAATCCCCACACTCAGTTTTGCTCATGACAAGCTCCAAATTCCAGATTCTCTTTGACCCATGAGTCAGTGCCAGAGGGCTGCCTGTGTGCTGGTCTCATGCTCCTCGCAGGCAAATGGAGGCCCCGGGAAGGTCTAATGGGCTCTCAGCAATGCTAAGTCCAGGGCCCCGGCAAGATGCAGTGGGAAGAACAGGATTATGGAGTAAGACTGACTCGGAAATCTGCTCTGTGAAGTTAGACCAGGTATAGAACTTCTCTAAGCCCTGGCATTTTCATCTGCAAAGTGGGATCCTAGAGGCTGCAAGAGACTGAATTGTGTCCCCTCCAAATTTATGTTGAAGCCCTAACCCTCCTTGTGGTGGGGTCTGGCTGTGGGGGCCTTGGGAAGTAAACGGGCATTTGTGAGCATGGGCAGCCACTTCAGGATCATTGTTCTTATAAGAGACACTGGGAGCGCACATTTTCTCTCCAGCATGTGAGAGCCAAGAAGGATCCCCAGCTATGCTGACAACCTGAGCTTGGACTTCAAGCCCAGAAGTCCTTCAGCCTGCAAGGAATTGAGTTCCTCTTGTCTAAGCCACCCAGTGTTTGGTGTGGCTAGCTGAGCTGAGATAGAAGCAGATCGACACTCTCAATTACTGCAGGTCTGAATGCTTGTATGTGCATTTAAAGCATTATTAGTGGCTAAATTTTTTTTAATATTTTAAATTTAATTTAATTTAATTTTTTAAATTTTTTAAAAATTTATTTTATTTTTTAAAAATTTTCTTTCTTTTTTTTTTTTTATTTAACATAGTGGCTAAATTTCGTAAGATTAAATGCATGGGATGTGCTTGGTGCTGCATGACAGAGGCCTGGTGCCTGTGAGTCCACCCTCCCACCCCAGGTAGCAGACACCAAGCCTGCTGCACAGACATGACCCACAGGAGGTGCTGACAGAAGACACCTAAGAGCTGCTTCTGGGCAAACTAGTGAATTGTCCTACTAAGACAAGAGAAAAAAGAGATCCCCCAAGTTACAAGGTATTGCCTCAAGGAGCCCACACGAGCAGTCTTAGAGAAGAGAGGTGTACTGGGCCAGTTGCAGGGCAGGACTCCAAGGGAGGAGAGACGGGGCCCAGGGGAGCGGAGGGAGAAAATTATACTAAAAGATATCAGGGGAGGAAGGGCCGAAGCTCAGAGCAGCCGAGGTGGAAGGTACAGATGAAGGTCAAGGCCCAGGTGCCCCTCCACCTTCACAAACAGGCCTGCGGGAGGAGTCCTTCTGTGGTTGTGACTTCTGACTCCTCCTGGATGTGATCAGCAGGCGCAAGGTCAGGGTGCCCTCCTGGCCACCCTGCCCTGCCTGGGCTGGCCCAACACAAGTCTCATCGGTGCAGGGATGGACGCTCTCGAGCTGCAGCCCCGTCCCCTCGCCTCAGGACAGTCACAGGAGCTGTCTCTGGGGCTGTCATTCTCGCTGGGCCCTCTGCTCATTTAACAAACATCTACTTAGCACCCAAAATGGACCATGTGCTCTTTTAAGCCCTTTTCAAGTAGTTGTACCTTTAAACCCCTTAACATTTTTCCAGTGTAGGTGTCATTATCATCCCTTCTTACAGCCAAGGAAACGGAGGCCCAAGGAGAGTTCATGACTTGATCAAGGTCACCGCCAGCAGGGAGAAGATCAAGGTTCCAACTCTAGAGCAATTACCAAAGCAAGTGGGGATGTTTTTTGCAAGGGTTCCTCTTAGCTCAGCTCCCTGGAAAACAGTTGGGATTTTTTCTACAGGTCCCATGCTGTAGAATCCATACCAGAGTCTAGGATGGCTCAGTCCTTGATTCCCTCCCCATCATTCTTTGTCCCAGCAAATAGTCATTGAGTGTCTACCAGGTACTGGTGTCTTATGCTGGTTGCTGTGGGTGGAGGGACAGAAGAGAGAATTATAGCAGAGAAGTTTAGAAACAATACAGACCTTGCACTCTGCTCACAACCCCCTTCTCATTCCCCGGGGAGCTCTGGTTTCATGTAGGAGGTTAAAGACATATCCTTGTCCAGTAACACGCAGTGGACATGTCCTGGCCAAGGTGCCTCTCCCAGGCTGAGGCAGGCCTTCCCCCAGCAGGCTGGGTGCAGAGGGGAGTGAGGGGGGACATGGGCAGGGTGGGGTGTGAGGGGCAAAGGCCCCTTTACATTGCTCCATCTACTCCACTGTAGCCAGACTCATGGCTTTTCTTCCATCTGCCAGATCATGGATCCAGTGGCGTACCCTCCATCGACCCTACAGAAAACCCTCAAGATAGGGGAGCTCAATTCATGACCTTCCCCCCAACTGTGCCCTCTCTTCATGCCCCTCATTCGGAGGATGTGATAAAGGACCATGCAATTCCCTGCAGGATGCATCCTGGGAGATAGAGCAGCAGAGAACAGGGCCAGCGTTGCTGCACAGAGCTTGCCCTGGAAGGGGCTTGTCTGCTCTTTTAAAGTTAAGGTGTTGTTGTTTCTACCCATGTCAAGGATCTTTGATGCCCTTGTCATCACTTTATTTCAGAAAGCAAGTCAATTGATGACTGTGAAGAGCTGGTGATCAACACTACGGCAACAATCAACAACTTATCTTACTACCAAGTGAAGAATTCCATGATTCAAGACAAAAAGCTGTATATTGCTGAATGTAAGGTTCAGAGTTCGATGTGAAAGATGCAGGTTCATTTAAGGTTTTGACTTTATTAACTAAACACAGAAGTGGAGGTATGCATATTTTTCTGATTTCTGGTACAAACATCTAAATGTCTCTTTTGATGATAAGAAGTTAGACTGTGTGAAAAGTCCCTTACATTTTGTATGCTATTATCACTTTGAGATGTTAAGTTATCAGTACTTAATGTGATGTCGGTTTCTAGTAGCCTTTAAACGAAAACATATTCACTGATTTCTCTGGTGCCCAAACCCAGTGCTCTTAAAACTGCTTGTGAGTAACAACATGGATGGAATTCTTGAGGCTGTGCGTGTCTTTGGAAATCTCTCCCAGGACCATGACATCTGTGATTTCATTGTGCAGAAAAATGGTGAGTTAATGACACTTACACTCATAAACACATTCTCCTTGCCAATAAACAGCTGAGCAGTTTCGGAACGTGGGTCATTCCAACGTGTCGCCGGTTTCTGCTTTGGGATGAGTAGTGCCTTACATTCTGTTCCGTTCATAAGTACGGCTCTCAGCGCAGGATGCCAAGATGGATCACCACAGTGTTCTCATGTTCTCTCCCTCGTGAGAGGCCTTCTCAGTTCCAAGGTGGTGTGTGTGTATGTGTTGAAGGAAAACAAGTAATCTCTACTTGTCGTTTCTGCCCAGGGGAGTGGACCCAAGACGTTCTCCCCCATGTGCTGGAATATCCATTACAGTACTGCTTGTAATAGGAAAACAAAAATAAAAACTAAATGTCCATCAACCAGCAAGAAGATAAATATAGAGTATACAAATACAAGTATCTTTTGTATATTTATGAACAAAATGTTCCATAGCAATCAAAATAAATGAGCTTAAGTTTCATGTGCCAGCACGGGTCGCCCTCAAAGGTTTTGTAAAAAGAAAAAAGGCACAGGGGTGATTTGGTGAGGCACAGGGGTGATTTGGTGATGGGAAACCCGTGGGGATTACAATCGAGATGGAAAAAAAAAATGTGCAAAATGATGTAAAAATAAACTTTGTAATAAAAAAAAAAAGAAAAAAGCCAGTGAGAGGATACAGAATAATGCCATTAAGCTTTACAGTACACAAAAACCATCTTAGGTGTGTATGTGTACACACAAAGTTAGTCATGATAGAAGGTATAAGTGGTATTGGAAAGGAGTTCAACATTTCACACAAAGGAAAGGGATGCCTAAAGATATAAAATTGGGTGTGTAATGTTCATTTCTTGAGCTGGGGTGGTGGTGGGGGCACTGTTTATACCAACCATACTCACTATATATCTCAAATATTCATGTAAGAACGATAACTAAGATAGAGTAATAACTAAAAATACCTATTGATCCAGGTTCATAATAGAAAATTTAGGTTATCTGTGTGTATATATAAACATATAGAGATATATTGGTTTATTTTTAAAGTGGCAGCACTACCTATCAGCCATCATCTCACCACGCAAAGATGTGGTGTTTATCCTTTAGACTCTTAAAAACACATAGGCGTTGCAAAAACTGAGGCAACCTGTGTCAAACTCACTGACCTGTCACTGGGGCCGAGGCCAGTAGGGTATGTCTTCCTGTCAGGGTTAGTAGCATGAGCACACCTTATCCTCTGGCCCTCACCCTCTGTCCAGCCCAGGTGGTGTTGGGAAGGGGGGAGGCTTGAGAAAATAGGACCAACAGCCCATTCCTTGGAGGGAGGGGGAAATGATTCCCATCTCTGGGTAGGTGTTCCAATGGTCAGAGCATATGTTCTCTTTAGAAAGTGAAGCCAAAAAAAAAAAGAAAGTGAAGCCAAACTGGGAGTCTGGCAGGAAGATAGCGGTCAGAGCCCACAGGGCTGCGTGTATTTAAAGAAAATCGCTGTTAGAGATTCAGCAGAGCTCTGGAGCCAATAAATGCCAAAGACTAATGTCTGGCATGTGATTGGAAGTTCGAGTCCCCTCCATGCCTGCCCTGGATCGGGGCTGCTGCCTGGGCCAGATATAAACAGTGTGTGGGTGTGGAGGGGGCAGGGCAGGGAGCAGAGTCTGATAGTAGTGGACAATGGAGAACACCTGCTGGGCAGGCAGAATAGCCTGGGATGGTGGGAAGTGCTAATGTGCAAGCTCCACCCCCTGCCCCTAAATCACTTGTCAAATAAAGTGCAGCTGGGACCCCTGAGCCTCACTGGTCTGCGCGGGTTTCTTCTTGCAGTACACAAGTTCATGATTGCTTTGCTGGACGCCAAGCACCAGGACGTTTGTTTCTCGGCCTGTGGTGTTCTCCTAAATCTCACTGTGGATAAAGAAAGGCGTGTCATTCTAAAAGAAGGAGGTGGCATAAAAAAGTAAGTTATGAGGCATGGAGTCTTGAATCTCTCAGGATTCGGAGAGTTCAGCAATTGGAAGCACCACGCTAGGACTTACGAGGACACTTAGATTCCACTGGACGCTTAGAATAATTCAAAAGTAGATTACTGGCACTCTGTAGCTACTTAAATTTCTGGCTCCGAAATTATTTTAATCCCTGAATGTATGTAGTACAGATCAAATGTTACAGAAGCATAACCATCTTGCTCGAAAAATAAAAATTCCAGAGTCTGACCTAATAACATCTCCTTTTTACTTTTATTAACTCAGGTTAGTGGACTGTTTGAGAGATTTTGGCCCTACTGACTGGCAACTGGCCTGTTTGGTTTGCAAAACCTTATGGAACTTCAGTGAAAATATCACTAATGCTTCATCGTGTTTTGGAGATGAAGATACTGACATGCTCCTAATGCTGCTATCCTCATTTCTAGGTAAGATTCCTGACTATCAGTTTTTATCACAGTGAGATTTAAAAAAAGATGAAATTTTGTATAAAAAGCAGCATGCATTTGGGTGGCTGTGCTTTCTATTAGCAGCAAAAGTATGTTAAAGGTGATTATATTTTGGGATATTTGGGTGAGACTGCTGTTTACAGTGGAGCTTTGGACCTGTTAGATACTATTGTGGTTTCTTCCGTGGCTTTGATTTATTTGTTTTTTGCATAGACTGCATATGCAAGGTATCAGCATAAATGTATTGTTTACAGGTCTCTAAAAAGAGATTGTTGGCTTGAGGAAATATGGCTAAAAGCTATTCTGAATTTATTAAGTCAAGCTATATGTTTCAATTAGCAGCTGTTAATTATTGCTCCAGGGAGGATCTTAAGAATCAGGAAATCACTGATACATACAAAACAAAGGAAAGTAGATGATTTCTTACATTAAAAAAGCTACTTTGTGCACTTTTTTTCACACCTGAGTTAGTCTAACAACCACTTGATAGTAAGCGAGTCAGCAGGTGAGTTGTGTTTTCAATAATCCTTTTCCCAAAATTGAGGTGTCCTTATCATTGCCCAACCAACTGTGTTGAGTCACCAACACCTTGTGAAAAGGCTCTGTGTGATTCACATCTGTGGGTTCAGACCCTGATGCTCTCTGCGGGTGGTAGTGTTAGACAAGACAATCTCTCTGAACCTGTCTTTTCTTCTTCCTAATGGGAACATGATAATCCTTGTCCAGCTCCAGGATCAAACAAACATTGGAGAGCATAGTGGAAAGACCAGGGGCTTCTGACTGCCCTCAGAAGTCAGTCAGTTTCGAATTGAGGTCCTAATTTTATCACTTGCAAGGTTTTAACCTTGTTGAATTAGTATTCCTATCTAAGTTGGGAATAATTGATGATGGAATGATAGACATATACAAGGACCTGGTTCAGTCCTGACTCATAGCAAGTCCTAAAACATAGTTGTAAAAGTGCTTTGTAAATTCCAAGTTCTAATTCTAAGGCTATTCAATAACAATTCAGAACCAGAAGGTATTTGAAAGAATGAGATTTTCTAGGTTGATGTGAAATTTGCTTTTCCTAGGTAACTAATTCTGTCTATGTAAGAATTAGAAAAAACAAGCAAAATTTGAGATCTTCAAGGTTCACAGTCTGCTCTGTGAATATTAAACTTTCTCAGGTTGCAGGGAGCAGAAGTGGGTGCTCAACTTGCCTTAAATCAGTTCTCAACTATAGCAGAATAGTAGAATCAGCTGTGGAATTAAAAACCCAGCTTGTCCTACTCTCGGGACTCACCAGCTAGGGAGAGGGTGAGGCCTCTCAAGAATCTGCTTTTAAAGTTTCGCAGGTGAGTCTGCTCTGCAGCCAGGACTGAGAGCCTTGCCTGCTTAGTGAAGGAGCTTATGGGGAAGATGCCTGTCCATAAGGAAGCAAGCATCTTGCCCATAGCCTTGGAGAGGCACTCAGTCCCTGGAAGGCCATTCCATCTGAGTAAATCCTCCAGAGCCTGCCTCGTAGGCTCTGCCCTGCAGGGACCAGACTCTGATCTGACTGCATTTACGGAGAAAAGGCTCCTCAGGTCATAGCTTCCGCCACCTCAAGCTCCTTGGTGTGTCTCCTCTTGTTTGGCATGCCTTTCTGTCTGTCTCCTTAGGGGAGCAGCTGTGACTGGCTTTGTGAGCAACTCTCCTGGGGTGTGAGACCCCCTGCCTTAGGTGGTAGCTGCCTCTGCCTCAGGCTCTCTCTACTTTTAGCTCCTAAGTCTGGGGCCATCGACCAGAGGTGCAAAATGGCGAGGGCCACCTGGTGTATGCACACAAGGGGGTCTGGCTGGCATCTCAGCAGGACACCAGGCAGCCACCATTCCCTCCCTTCAGCCTTTCCTTAGAGCCAGGAAGGGCTTCTCCTTGCGCTTGTCCAGCTGCTGTGCCCTGTGCAGGTGCCACAGCCCTGGCCTGCCCAGTCAAATGCCACCCTCTCTGGCAGACCCTTTTCATGTGGGTTCTCAAGCCTAGAGTCTAGTTTTAGGGACTCTCTTCTTCTAGAGCAATTAGCCGTGAACCACGTAACTTGTTCCTGCCCTGCTTCTGCTGAGTCACTTTAGGGGAAGGATGTTGCCTCACATGGAGCAGGTTCTTGATAGACGTGTAGGAATGGACAAACTCTAGTGACACTTTTTTTTTTAAGATTTATTTATGCATACAGAACTGGGGTACAGGCCAGAGGCTCAGGGGCGGTGAGAGGAGTCTCCAGAGACAGAGTGGGGAGCAGAACAGGCAGATCGACGAAGTACACTGCTGAGGGGAGCAGCGGGCGGGTCAGGAGAGGTCTGCTGTGCCATGTGGGTTACCTCGGGGCAGGCGGGGATAGAACTCAGGCGAAAATGGCTTCTTAGTGCTGAGCTCTAATCCACTGCGCCACCAGGGAGGGCCCTCTAGTGACGCTTTTACTTTATTAGTATTAGAGACTTTTTAGAGACATGTTCACACTGTTCTCCCAAGAGCCCTTTGAGGGCATTAAGTAGGGGACAGATGAGGAAAGTTGGTCTAGGATAGCTGAGTGGCAGTCAGCATCACAAAGCCAGGACTTTCCATCAGAAAAGAAATGGCCTGCTGCCGGGTTCCTTGACTGCCCTACAGCGGTGTGCAGCTTCACCCCACCCAGCCAGTGGAAGGGGGTTGTGGCAAGGAAAACAGACATAAACATGGTCTATGGGGAGCCAGGTTTCCCTCATGTCCGGAGCTGTCTTGGGGGGGGATGGTGGGGGGGAGGCACGGAGACCAGGCCTTGTGGGGTGTGTGGCCTGCTGCTTTGTGTTTCTCTCTGCTGACAGGGTGCGGGTGTCTGGACAGTTGGGAGCAGCAAGTGAAACGGCTGCATGGGTGAGAGGGTACCTGAATTTTACTGCTTTTACAAAGACAATGGAAGGACAGGCCGAGCTGTTACCTAGCTAGCAAAGCCCACGCTGAAGTGCAAGCACTGGTTTTAGAAATAATAGTAAGTTTTAGAAAATATAATAAGTAATGGCTAAGTAATGGCAAAGTAATGTAAGTTTTCTAACTTTTTCTTGATGGTGACTGAAAAACCGAGAATGCCATGGGCCTTAACATGGCTGGGATGTTGATGGTCCTTCTGGAAAGTGACTCAGGAAAAGCATTGTCTAAAATTTCCCGATGTGCTCCCCTCTCGTCTTATAAGCTCATTAGCATCCTTAAGTGGTGGCACCGGCTCATGAGTATGCAGTGACCCCATGACTACAGCTGCTTGATGCTCTGCGTAGGCGCTTTTCTACTGTGAACGTGAAATCCCTCTGATTATTTCATGTTCATCACAGGTCTGTGGACCTGAGCTACTAGGTTGCGTGTCAGGGATAGAATGGGATTCAAGACTCACTTTAGAGGATCACACCTCAAACCCATGGCAACAGCCCTGGAACATGTGAAGGTTCTGCTTTATAAGGAAACTTGGCAACTAGAGCTACCTGGAGCAGAGCAGTGCAGTGAGGAGGGGAAGCTTTCCTTGAGGCTGTGGGATCCTCATGCTATAGTGGTGATTGTGTTCAAACACACATTATTGTATTGTTCTTTAGTCCTTTATGATACCTCACCTAAAACCCAGGTATTTGGAAATGTGCTGTGCACAAAGGGAGGTTAAGAATTGTTGGTTATCTCAGCCAGTGCTTTTCACTGTGACCAGTACCTTTAAAAGTGAAAGTCACAAAGATCGAAAATATCAAAATATGTTACATGTAGTAAGGATAAGTATTGCTTGCTATTTGTGCATAAAATCGTAGGGCTATGTATAAGGAGTCACACAGTTTGCATTTCTTAGGTCATTGTCTAAAAAGTTGAAAGCACAGATCTAACTTTATCATGCTTTAGCCTTTGCCACTCTTGCCGTACAAATTCCAAAATTTAATACTCGGTGTAATGTGGCACTTTTCATGTCTTTGCTGTATTTATTTTGAAAACTCAAAGACCATTTTTCTCTCACCTGTAGCAATTTGACCACTCTTACTGTCTTGTCTAACCCAATTTAGAGTTAATAGCATCTGAGTATGGATTAAGTAATTAAAGGCAAAGCCTCAAGAAAAGTAACAGTCTTGGCAATAAGTTAAAAGACTAAAAATGTCAAAATAGATATTTGCTGACACCACCAAATATAACCAAAGTCCAGAGCAGAGACAATGACTGCCAAGTGCCCTGGGCAGCCCCAGCTCTAAGGGAAGAAGGGCATAAAACAGGATTATTACTATTTCTTCTTTAAAGAGAATTTTCATGCTCAGAAAAATGTGGGACAGGGTGGGCGGGAAGAAGATCTAGAAGTCTGAAGCCTCTGAGAATCAGAGACTCCTCTTGTCCCATCAGATCACCAGGAAGGCTTTGAAGGCATCAAGTGCCATCCGCATTCTCCTCTCCAGTCCTGCTTATCTTGTGGGTGGGGACACCAGCTTTGGGGTCTCCATGGAACACCTTGCTGAAGTGTTTGTGTCTGCCCAGAACTTATCTCAGAGCTGCCTGTGAGGAGAGGAGGGGAAGGTGCAAACTGGGATTCCAGACGCCCTTATCTCACACTGGGTGGTGACACAAACACCCACCGTGCCAAAGCACACAGCATGGACAGAAATGCCCTGTGTGGAAAGATCATGTAAACAGTCATGAAGCGTTTTATAATAGGAATTGAAGTGGCCCTGGGAAAAATGTTTACGAATTATGTAAGTAGCAATATTTGTGGTCATTTTCGGACCTAGTGGTTCCCACTTAAAAAGTCTGACTTGACCACAGACCCAGGGAGTGGCAGAGCCAGTCTTCTGCTTGGCAGCCCAGCTTGTTTTCCTGAAGTCCTTGTGTGGTCTGGAGCCAGTGTGAAGAAGGGGAAGGTGGTAGCCATTTTTCCTTCTACTTTGGCTGTATAGACTTATAGAATCACAGGATTCAGGGTATCCGTGGATTAAGAAGCAGGTTAAAGTTGTGCTTTTGTGGCTTTTTTTTTTTTAAGCCAACTGTTTTCCTGCATTACTCATGGATTCACTTGGGATCCTAATGCTCTTTGGAATTCTCAAGTTTCCAACTTTTCATTGTTATTGGAGAGCGTTTGCATTGGGGGTTGCTGTTTCAAGATGCTTGCCCAAGCTAAACTGAATCCAGCAATGCTGATTTTCAGCAAAGTTTACAACTGTCAAGTTCAACTGTTGTTACTTTTTCAAAAGATTTCTGACTCCTTTTGTATTTGTCAACCACTGCAACAATGAACTTTTTTCATGTGTACCATAAGGAAGTAGCATATTACTATTTTGTTCATTAAGAGAAGCGATGATCTAACTTTTGAATATGAATTGGGATTAGTTGAAATAAGAATTCAATCTGGGATTTTTTTTTTACAAAGATTTTATAATACAATACAGAACAAAGATTATTTTTCTGTATTGAAACATGAAAATGTGCTTATTATAAAACACTTGTAAAGAACATTAAACAGAGCCTTTAAACCCCAAATTTATCTGTATCATGTTATCATGTTGGTAATAGAGATGACTTAGAGTGAGATTACTTCATGCCATCGAATATTAAATTTTATTCAAGAGGACTATATTCCCAAATAATTGCTGTAATTTTAATTTTTCTAATATACAGATGAAGAGCTAGCATTGGATGGCAGTTTTGACCAAGACCTAAAAAACTATCACAAACTTCATTGGGAAACAGAATTCAAACCTGTGGCACAGCAGCTTCTAAACCGAATTCAGAGTCATCACACCTTCCTGGAACCCCTGCCTATTCCTTCTTTCTAACACCAATGCAGATTAACAACAGAACAGGAAGTCAGGTCTCCTTCATTCTTAAGACGTGGTAATAAACATGAACTTGTTTTCAGTATTACCAAATATTGAAAGTTTGCAGGTACTGACTTAGTGAATAGCCTAATAATTTTAAAAGAAACAAGCATTTCTTCTTGTTAGGTGTTATAGAGAAAATGAATATACATGTGCTTTCTGCTATGAGAAATGTAAGATAAAATGAAAATATATGCATGTTTTTTCTAAGTCAATGACTTTTCTTCTGTTCTCTATGAATCATTTAGTTATAGTCTTCATATCCTGATTTAACAATTGTGAAATTGAAGCACTTGTCTGTTCAGCAGTTAAATGAGCTGTGCAATGAAGACAACTGGATTTGAATATAGAAAGAAGGGTGGTCAACACTATTAGGGATGTGTTACCTCATAAGCATCTATACTGATTCTCTACTATGGCTACTAATCTTCTAATGCAATATCAGTACTTTTCTGCTTCTGCTGTCAGGGGGAGGGCTAAACAGAACAATTTAAAACACTGTTTCAGACTTCTAATCTTTATTCCCTAAATAAAACCAGGTGAGAAAGGTAGAGTTTTATCTTCCTTTTCCTTTGAAATGACTGAACAGACTGCCGTTCTAATGATGACTTTGACCATCAGGGAGGCTTTAGGAAGCACTAAGTGTGTAGGAAGAGGTCCAGATCTCCTTTTACACCCTAACTCTCCCCTGTTTGAGCCTTGAACATGTAACTTAATTTCTTTTGCTTCAACTACAAATGGGTACAGTATTTATTACAGTGTAGTTTAAGGGGGGAACGGTGAGCTGTGCGATGCACAAATTGCTCAGTACAATGTCTGATGTACTCAATACATTAGACAACATTGTGGATGGTAATTTGTTAGTTTGCCATTCTTTGTGGACTGTTTGGGCCTATGAGTAGATGGTAAAAAACAAAGATATTACAATTACTATTGTTATCCTAAACTAGCTAAATTCAGATTTGGAAATAAAGATAAACTTACTACTGTTTGGGAAAAAGCTGTTAATGGATTATCTCTCACCCTACAAAATATCAAGACTAATGGGATGAGGACAGGCATTCCAGAGTGGATCCACATTCCCCTCCCCACCACAAACCTATTAGAGAAAATCTAACTCTGGAATAAATTAACCTTTTAGAGATGGTTAGGGTTTAGGAAAATTTGCTAGGACATTCACTTCGTTATAGAATATCATCCATAAGACTATGTTAGTAGAGGCCACTTTAAGTCAGAGGGATTTGTCACTCAAACATGTACAGATTTAGCTCTTTTCCATACTAGCCTACCTGTTTTACTTTCAATGAAAAATATGAAACTTTTTATACCCCCTGAAAATAGCACCCTTGGCATTTATAACAAGCATGATGGAATGTCATTATACCTGCTCTCCATACTAAACTCCTCTTCAGACCAGTGTGCAAGCCAGACCATTTACAACTATCTACCTGCCTTTAAAAAAAAAAACAATGTAAATATTATGATTTAAGAAAACATATAAAATTCATCTTAACTATTTTAGCTTACTGAACTACAGTTCAGTAGTGCTACCTATAATCACATTGTTCGGCAACTGATCTCTAGAAATTTTTCATCTTGCATAACTGAAGCTCTTTATTAAATAACTCCCCATTTTTTTCTCCCTGGCAACCATTACCCAACTTTCTGTTTCTATGAATTTAACTAATTTAGATCCCTCATATCAGTGGAATGATTCTGTGTATGTCTTTTTGCCCTGACTTATTTCATGTAGCATAATATCTCAAAATTGTAACTTGTGACAGGATTTCCTTTTTTTTTTTTTTTTAAGATTTATTCATATAGAACTGGGGTACAGGCCAGAGATGCGGAGGGTGATAGGATTCACCAGAGACAGAGCAGGGAGCAGAACAGGCAGATCGAAGAAGTACACTGCTGAGGGGAGCAGTGGGCGGGTCACCTTCCGGGCAGGCAGGGTTCGAACTCATGGTGAAGTGGCTTAAGCTTCTTAGTGCTGTGCTTTAACCCACTGTGCCACCAGGGAGGGCCGGATTTCCTTCCTTTTTAAGGCTGAATAATATCTATGTGTAGATATCACATTTTGTTTACCCATCAATGGACATTTTAGTTGCTTCCATCTCATGCTTTCTAAATAATGTTGCTATCAATATGGGCATGTAAATATCCTGAGATCTGCTTTAAATTCTTTTGTATATGTAGCAAGTGAAAAAAACTGGATCATATAGTTCTGTGTTTAATGTTTGAAGCCATTCTAGACTGTTTTCCATAGGGACTATATATGCACCAGTTCACACTACTATTAGGGGAGTACAGCTTCCAATTTCTTTACATCTTTACTAACACTTGATATTTATTTATTTGAGTAGTTGTCCAAATGGGTATGAAGTGATATATCATTGTGGGTTTAATTTGCATTTCTCTACTAATTAGGGGTACAGGATATCTTTTCATGTTTGCTGGCCATTTGTATATCATCTTTGTAGAAATGTCTATGAATTTTTAATTGGACTACTTGGATTATTGTTGTTCTTATTGAGGTAAATAAGTTCTTTCTACAGTAATTAGCCTCACCCATTATCCTGGGTTTTGCTTTTTGCAGTTTGTTACCCATGGTCAACCATGGTCAGAAAATGTTACATATAATAAGATCTATTCAGGGAGATCACATTCATATAACTTTTATCATATATTATTGTAATTGTTCTGGCTTTTAAATTATTTCTCTACTTAATTTATAAATTAAATTATTATACCTGTATAAGTATCGGAAAAAAACTAGTTGATATATAGGGTTTGTTGCTCCGAGGTCTCAGGCATCCTCGGAGGTCTTGGAACTTATCTACTGAGGTTAAAAGGGGACTTTATTTTATATACTAAGCCCTCAGCTGATATATTATTTACAGATGTTTTCTCCCATTTCAGAAATTGTCTTTCCATTCTGTTGATTGCTCCCTTTTGCACAAGAGTTTTAAAGTTGATGAAGTTTCATATATCTTCTCCTTTTGCCTTTAATTTTGGTGTTATATCCAAGAAGTCACAAAATTCAGTGTCCTAAAGCTTTCCTCTTAGTTTTCTTCTAGTTTTATTTTAACTCTCAACATTTGTTTTTTTTCAAATCCATTTTAGTTAATTTGTGATTGGTGTAAGATAAAGTTCTAACTCCATTCTTTTGAATGTGGTTATTATGCTTTCCCAGTATCACTGTTGAATCAACTCTCCTTTCCCTACTGAAAATGGTCCTGAAACCCTTGTCAAAGATGATTTGACCAGGTCTGGGAGAGGTCATTTCTGGGCTTTCTGTTATAGTCCATTGGCTATATGTCCATCCCCAGGCCAGTTCCACAGAGTATTGATTAGTGCAGCTTCATAAAATGTCTCGAAATCAGGCTATATAAGACCTCCTGCTTTTTTTTTCTTTTTCAAGATTATTTTGGTTGTTTTGGGATCCTTTGAGACTCCTTGTGAATTTTAGAATCAACTTTTCTATTTCTACAAAAAAAATGGAATTGGGATTTTGATAAAGATTGCACAGATACTGTTGGCTACTTTAGGATCTATTGGCATTAACAATATAAAGCCTTCTAATTCATGAGCACAGGATGTCTATTTACTTATGCCATTTTTTTTAAAGATTTATTTATTTATGCATACAGAACTGGGGTACAGGCCAGAGGCTCAGGGGTGGTGAGAGGCTTCACCAGAGACAGAGTGAGGAACAGAACAGGCAGATCAACGAAGTACACTGCTGAGGGGAGCAGCGGGCGGGCCAGGAGCGGTCTGCCGCCATGTGGTCACCTCCGTGGCAGGCGGGGATCGAACTCATACGGAAGCGGCTTTAGATTCTCAGTGCTGTGCTCTAACCCGCTGTGCCACCAGGGAGGGCCTACTTATGCCATTTTTAATTTCTTACAACAAAATTGTGTAGTGTTTTCAGTCTAAGTTTTTCATCTTTTTGGTTAATTTTATACCTAAGTGCTTTAATGTATGGGGTTTTGTGTGTGTGTGCGTGTGTGTCACTGGAAATGGAATTGTTAAATTCCTTTTAAGATTAATAATTTTTGATGTGTAGAAATTAACTGATTTTACTTGAAGTAATATTGCAACATATTTTGGGTATGCATCATTCCAAATCAGCATGTGTAGGAGATTTAAGTTCACACTAAAATCCCAATTTTATTCACCATTTTTAGCTCTCCTGACTTACCTAACCTTCTTCCCCCTTCCCTACTGGTAGCCACTGATTGATCTTATAGTTTAAAAGTTTTATTCATCTGTTTGATTTCCCTCAAGCATGCCATATCAAGAAAAGGCATCATGGTGCCCTCCCTGGTGACGCACCGAGTTAAAGTGCAGCACTATGAAACTCTCTGCAGCCGCTGCACAAGTTTGATCCCCAGCCAGGGAGGTGACCCAAAGGGCACAGGAGACCTCTCCTGTCTCACCCACTGCTTCCCTCAGCATGGTATTTCAGTTAATCCACCTGTTATTGTTCCCCACTCTGTTTCTGGTGAATCCTTTCATACCCCACACCTCTGGCTTGTACCCCAATTCTGTATGCATAAATAAATTGAAGGAAAAAAACATACTGTGGTGTTGTTCTCTGTCTGGCCTGTTTCACCAAAGATATATATATATATTTTTTCACCAAAGATATTTTTGAGGTTAGTTGGGTTGTTGCAATTGACAGAATTTTATCTTCATTTTTTATAGCTAAATGGCATTATGTATGTATATCAGAACTTCTTTATCCATTTAGCAGTCAGTAGGCATTTCAGTTATTTCCAGGTCCTGGGTATTGTAAATAATGCTGCAATAAAGATGGAAATAGACATGTCTCTTCAAGTGAGTGGGGATTTTGTTCTTAAGTTCCCAGAAATGGGATAACTGAATTGTATGGAATTTCTGGTTCATTCATTTATTTTTTTAGGAATCTTATACTGTCATAGGGTTTTTCATAATGGCTGTGCCAATTTACACTCCCTTCAACAGTATACTAGGCTTCCCTTTTCTCCAGCACTTGTTTCTTGTCCTTTGGCTAATAGCTATTCTCACAGGAATGAGGTGGTATCTCATTGTTTTGATTTGTGTTGATTTAATGAAAAGAGAAGATGAATGTTTTTTACATGTGCCTATTGACCATTTGCACATTTCCTTTGGAGAAGTTGTATTCACAGCCTGTACTCATTTTTATATTGGGTTGTCTGGCTTTTCACCGAGTTTTCTGTACATTTTGGTTATATAAAATACATGCGCTGTATTTTTGTACACATGGTATGCAAATGTCTTCTTCTGTTCAGTAGGATGTCTCTTTATTTTGATGCAAGTTTCTTTCTCTGTCCAAAAGGTTTTTACTTATAATCCCATTTGTTTATTTTTGCCTTTGTTTCCCCTGCTGTTGGGAGTCCCCTGACATACCTGTAAGTCTGGTGTCTAGGAGTCTGTCACCTATGTTTCCTTCTCTGTAGTTTATGATTTGGGGTCTTACAAGTCTTTAACCCGTTTTGAATTTTTATCTTGTTAGATGGCCATCTAGTTTCTTTCTTGTGCCTGTGGTTGTCCAGTTTCTCCAGCATTAGTTCTCAGAGATATTCCT